AAAATTAAATAGATAAAATTACCGGGTTGATGTAATTATCTGTATTATATCTATCTACGCTGAAACTCTTATGTCGACCACTAAAATACCTGCTTTTATCGAGATATGAAAGTAATCTTTGCCAAGAATGATAAAATAAATATTGAAATAAATGTTAAATGAAAGCTTCAATTTATATTATCTCTTAAAATCTTATAAAAAGATATATATATATATTTTAATAATATACTCTGGAAATAATATAATTGTATACACATATAATTAAAGAAATCTTTTGAGAGGCAGGACGCATTATATGACGTACGGAATTTTTATGGAATTTTAAATTTATACATAGAAAGATTTGAAAAGAAACTAATTTAAAAACGGAAATTGCGGGGAAATTGAGAAAAGGTTCCAAGATTATTTTATAACTCCTAGAAAAAATAATCATAGTAAAATTTAATTATACCGCAAAAAAAACTGATTATATAACAGCTTTAATTTCCCACTGAAAGACTCGAAATGTCGACACAGCAAACTTTTCTTTTAAACGCCCATCCATTTAAATAAATGGACTTCTCGCGGATAATAAGACGGTCGCGCGCGCGTCTCGGTTTCTTTGATCCTCTTTATCCTTTGGCGCGCGCGGCAACGCGTACCTTTACATCCTGCCTTTATACGTCGTTAGTCAGTGTCTCCGTGGAAAGGAACATCAGCTCGATTTACGAAGCGCCGACAGGAAGAAGGATTTCCATTCGTTTTAGTCGCGCGTGGAGACGGGGGGAAAAGGACACGATGACGTTCGCACGCTAGTCGCTTTGTCGACGTTCCTCGCCGCGATGTTAATCCCGTGGAAACGATAATACCTCAACATTGTATGCAGGTGCGAGAGTAAGACTTGACTGTGTCGAGATTATGACCTCCGAAAATCTTTTCACCCTCGTTCTGACTGCGTGTTTAGCGCTAAATCCGTTGTCGGTATCACGTTGAAACAAATTTTCTATTAATATTTATTATTAAATATTTGGTAGTTGAATGTCAACGAAAATTTCTATTTTGAAGATAACTGATAATAATAAAGTGTTATATTTTCAATTGTGCAAGATGAAGATTCAATCTCGAAAATTTCTTCGCTTTTAATCGCTATGAAATCGGAGATTATTGGTATCCCAAATTTTTTTTTATCTGAGAGAAAATTTTTTTTTATTATTATAAGAATTTTGAAAATATTTTTCTCTCTGAAAAGAATTTTATTTACTTTACGCTTTACGTAATAAATTATGTAATGTAATTCTAGCAATTCCGGGCTATATAAATACACGCGACGAGAAAGAGAGATTCATACTTTTCACGAATGATGATACTTATCGCCGTTGCTAACTGTAATTACCAGTTCCCTGGCGCGGCACGAGGATATATCTTGATGGGTCTTTTCAGATTTAATTCACCGGAAATCGCGTGCCGGAAGTAACAACAGGAGAAACGAGCTGCGACGCGTCGCTCCGTTAATATTCCGACGTTTGGTCTTCTTGCTGGATATATATATAGTGCTTTAGGTGTACTAGTTAACCCTCGTTAAACTCTGCGAGTGTAGCAATTAGATGCGTTTTGCTCGTGGCTGCTTTGCGCCGAACAATTGAGTAATTGAGTGCCACAGTAGCTCACACAAACTTGCCATAGAACATTTAATTATACATTATCAATTGAAAGATTTGATATAAAATAGATCCGCTATCTTCCAAAAAAAAAATTTAAATCGAGATAAAATTTAATTTCTTGAAATTCCTGAACAGACACACACATATGTAATTCTTTAATTGTAAATATTACGTCGAATTATTTATCATTATTTATTTTTTCTCTTATATTTTTATTAAAATTGTTTAGGAACTGCAAATTAATTTTTTTTTTTTTTTACGTTTTTAATTAATTCTTTAATATCTTTTTATAAAGATTGTTATTATGTTAAAACATACGGAATGTCTCGAACCTATCAATATTTCTTCAATGCTTTGAATAGACGATATCAAATGACTCGCGGAATATGATGTGACAACGGCGGAAATGTACCAACGGCGGTTTTCCTCTGTGTCACGGAGGGTATTCGGTGCATAATCGAGTTTCTTTAACAATCGTATGATGAGTAAGATCCGATCTAAGAATAGATTCGCTCGATACGACGGGGGGAATGCAGATCAAATAACAAGGAGAAATAAAATCCCGCAAAATAAAAAGAAAGATTAATATACTTTTTCTTCATTGTTTATTTAAAAAAAGATATTTACTAAGTTTTGAATTTATTTTTTAATATCATAACTACTTTATTAAAGATATGTATATTTTTTTAATAAGATTTTTGTATCTGCTTACATTTAGAATATATTCAAAAAATATTTATATTAGTTCCTTAAATCATATGAGATACATTATAGCAATAATCCGTATACATTAGTGTTTCCGTTTATATAATTTTGGGATTATAATTTTCCAGCATACGCAAATAACCGAAAAAATGGGTAAAACGACAGAGTTTCTCGGTTTATTCGAAACGTATCGAGCCGCGAAATTAATCCGCTCGAGATGAACTCCCGACACTGCAGCATGCGCTAAATTGAAATGGGACAATCCCCCAACCCCTAAGAGATAGAGAAAAATCTCTACCCCAATCGGGAGTTTTGTGTTCGCGTCCCTTCTACGCGCTATTAATAATAACGCATCGCTCTTTTCGAGCTCTGTACGAGAGTATCGCGGTACACGGGGTGAATGAAAGAATCGGGTATCCCGGTGTACGCGTGCAGCAGGTTTTTCTGCGGGCCACCCTTCTGGCCAATCTGGCCCCGTTCTCTTGCTCCCCCTTAGTTTCGATGGCATTTTCCAGACGGGCGGGTGCGCGTTTTCGTTATTCCCTCTCTATCGTACTCGAAAATTTCACATTATTTCGTAAAATCCGTTCGCGTGTTTCAAAGTTTAGTTAGATATTTTCTATTGAAAATATTGAAAACTTATGAGAAATCGTCTTCCTTCACAAATTTTTCTATCCAAAAATTCTTCATTTAAATATTCTGGCTTTAAATCTGTCAACAATTCTATCATTAAAATAATAAATACATAGATAGTACATATGATAACAATTCTTTGATTGAAAAGTGAGGATCGGTGATTATTTAAACTTAGAGATACAGCAGCTTTTCTTTCTTTCTTTAAATAAAGTAAAGAATTTTCATGTAACGATGCAGTTTGGATTCCAAACATGCGCGTTGAGTGCGCGTCGGTTTATTATTTCAATTGTTCGTTCAATCTTTCTCAACCCCCTTCGGGGGTTTCCTTTCGTTCCTCGTGTCAGAATTCGTCAAGCTCTGTCAAAACGACGTGGCAATGCTGTCAAAGGGGGTCGGAGTATATCGGTCGATTCTTTGGTACGTTTTATTGTTTTCGCGCATCGTGCTGCGTTCTACTTCTTTTTTTTTTTTTTTTTCATTCTGTATCCGATTTTCCCCACCCGAGGGAGAGGATTGTCGAGCGTTCGAGCGTTGTTATTGTTTGTTTGCTCTTACGCATCTCGTTTCCCAACCGAGTATTTTCGGTTCGCGAAATTGCAAATTCGTTGTTGAAACATTGTTGCAACCGGCGAGCGAGCGTGACACGCAATCAGCTGTGTATTAAATGAAATTAAAGTGTCATTTAAAGGGAGAGCCTGATATTTTCTCTCCGCTACATTACTTTTTTCGTTATGTATGTATTTATAATCACGTTTTATAATGAAAATGTTTCTCGCGTGTTTTTTGCAGCAATCTTACCGACGCGATTTTGCAATAAAAAATAAAGGAAGAAAAAAAATCATCAACACATGTGTTTGTTATAGATATTAATCGCGTAAATTCGCTGGATGTCGCACGCAAGTATGTCGTTCACCACAATGTTTGCAATACGTTGAGTTACGTAACTACCGCCATTGTATTTCCGTTCTTTCTTTTTCCTTTTCTTTAATAACCGAGTCGACAGCTTTTCACAAGGCGTTTCTCAGCCGTCATTATTAACGCGCGCGGGCGCCCGTGCTAAGAGAAAGAATATTATTATCATCTTAACCACCGGCTTTGTTCGCACCCGGTTTTCATTTCACATCTTTATTATGAAAGTAATGGTATCCATTGAACTCACAAACGCGCAAATATTTATTCGGAAGTATTACGTCCGAATATTAGCATATATTATGTATAATTCTCGCGGCGCTTCTCTGCCATTGTATCCGAGCAATTTTTTTCCGTCCGGAATATTGTTTCCGCAACGAGAATCTATTTTTCGCACTGTTTAATATCCGACACGATCTGTTTCACCGATCGCGTTTCTCTCCTCGTAAAAAACATTTCTCGTCTACTACGGAAAACATCGTCTATTTTTTTTATTTATTTATCAGCGAAGATTCAAAGCGATTTAAGGCTGTATGTGTCATATGTCGAAAAATCGACAAAAGCATGAAAATTTCGTAGACTATTTTTTCTGAATATCTGTGCAAAACCTGAGCACAATTCTCTTAGCGGTTTGGAAATTATTTAAGTTTAAAGTGGCTATTGATTCTCATGGAAAATCGCGTATTATAGCATTTATTGACAAGTTTGACAAGCAAAAAAGAAAAAGACATTGTCAGCAAAATAAAAATGTTTACTTTATGAAAACTCTAATGTTTGTGCAAAACTTAATTTAGATCCATTTACTTGTTTAAATGTTATGTACTAAAAATTGTAGATAATTATTATTTCTCTTTCTCTCTGCAAATTATTCGTTTTTTTTTTGTTTCTTGCAATTGATTTCAGGGAGTATTCACGATCAAAAGTTTTTGTCATAAATTAAGAAAAATATTAATTACAACTATTTTCTTTTACAAAGACGTTAAAAACCATATTATTTTGTGATTCTTTAACTTTTTTATAATCCGGATTTATTTATTTGATTTTTCAAACAGTATAAACGTAAGAAATATGTTTTTTTTTTTTAATTTTGACAATTTTTTATCATTATTGTACAGCCAAAACATCCTTAATTTAATAGAACTCGATGAGAAATTATTCTTATATTTGTCTGTGACGCGGCAACTGGCCGTAATATTCTTCTTCGCGTGACAAATCGGGAATTCAGTTCATAACAGTAGTTGTAACAGTTCAACAGTGTTTACGAAATTGAACCTTAATATCCGACACGCGAGAAACCGGCCTCGGAGCAACGGAACGCAAAAACGCCATGGAAACGGGACAGGTCGCGCGAATCCATTCGCGCGAGTAGGTGAGTAGGTAGATAGGTAGGTAGGTAGGTAGGTAGGTAGGTAGGTTGGTAGGTAGGCAGATAGATAGATAGATAGATAGATGGTCGAACGGACTCGCGCTGCGTGTAGGTAGATGCTGCAACTGCTGCATTAACGGGTGCACCGCTCTTTCTGAAACGAATGCACGAGATGCGGTTACCGAGCGGAATAATGCATTGCGATAGTGGATTCAGACTTAATTAAAGGCCCAGTCTACTCTAGCAGTATGAAAAATTGATGAATTTTTTGAATTTTTTTGACTAATATTAGAAATCAAAAAAACGCGTGTCAAATGCAAAAAAATCAATCTCTTATATTGTACAAAAAAAATTCCTGTAAATTATCAATTTTTCATATTACTAGAGTAAACTAGGCCTTTAATACGGCAAAGTGCAATAATCGGAATATTTTGGAAAATGGAACGATGCAGTATAATGAATTTTCAATCCAAAAAAAAAAAATAAAAGATTGATAAGTTTGTTATTTGAAATAGCGAATGATGCTCTATTCATCTAACGGTTTCCACAATTCAACTTGATCCTATTTGTATGACAAATTGTCGGTATTTAATCAGTCGCATATCTCAAATTCGATTAAATGAAAGTGATATGTATTACGATAACGATAATTATACATTCCTGAAGGTCTATTATTATCTCTCGTGAGAGATGTCCCTCGTGGTCGTTGACGTTTCGTGAGTGCTCTCCTGCGTTCTGGAACAGTGACAATCAGACCGAAGAGGCCGCATTGTTGTCCGCATGGTTTACGAGCGTATAGCACATATGCTCGAATATCACCAGATACGCGAGATACTCGCATTTCTGGCCAATAGTAGATTTCAGCCGGTGATCCCGAACGAGCGCTATCGTTAGTATCGGTAAATCACCGGCGTGACGTTCCCCACCACGTGTGCGTACAGTGTTTCCGATTTTTCCGAATATCTCCACTTTCACTGGCTGGCGATCGCGCATCATCTGTCGTTAGTTTCCTACTTCCTTGTATTTTCTAGCTAGTATTTTCGTGCTGATATAAAAGTATAATTTGTTCGTAATAAGATTGAGAGCGAAATCTACAAATTATAATCTATAAATTATGATGAAATAGAGATTATATGTAATTTATTTATTTTAACTTTCTATTTAATGACTATTTGATTCTTAATGTGTCATTTATAATATATATCTTTATATATAATTAATACAACATATATCCTTATAAAATATCATTTAACGAGAGAAAAATGTAGGTGTGTTGCAAACTGTGAGCTCTTGATTATATAAATTATATAGAGAAAGCGCGTTCCGGTTACACATACAAGTTGAGTTTCAACGAACACTTGGGGATCAGAGTTCATATTCAGCCAATCCTTCCTTTGCAGCGTCCCACGGTGTTTTGTTGACAAATGCGCGAATACCATTTGCCATTCGTTTCACGTATTCCACCCAATCAAAGTTACTCATATCGAACTCGAATATCTCGCGATCCACCGCGCTCATTCGTTCCCACAGTTTGACCATCGCGTTATTCGTGAAGTACCACTGCCGCGTCATAAAGTAAGACGTCGCCGAGAGATGAGCGTGTATCAGATTGTAGGTCTTGCACCATCTATAAAAAGCGCGAAAGGGATCACGAAATGTCCGAGGGAATCCACATTTTTGCGTTAAACTTATTTTTACATCGCTAACCCGTCAAAATTTCAAAATGGGCAGGATGCTTTAATATTTCCCGCGATTCATAAAACGTGTATTTTAAATATTATAGTAAAAGATATGATAGAGAAAAATATCCGACCTTGAATCCCGGCCGGTGAGATTGGCCGCCGCGTCCATCATAATCGCGGGCAACAAATGGAAGAGGCACAAGAGAATCTTATGTATCCATAGTCTACTGTTCCAAAACATGCACTGTAGCCGTATGTTCTTCGCACCCGGTATCTTCGATCCGTGGTTGCGTACGTGTTTTCGAAACGTTCGCCAGGTTATCGGACTTTGACACGACGACACGCAATTGTACACTTTTACCCTTTCCACGTCCGGCACGAGACCGGTGTCCACGTCTACTTTAAAATTTTTCTTGACTTTCCTATTGACAAAAATTGGATATTGATCCAAGTGTTAAAGTCCGTTAAAGAAATTTTCATCGTGAAAGTATAACATCTTTGAATTTCGTATTTTAATAAAGAAGAAAAAATATGAAAATTGAACAATCCATGGTGTCTACTCCCTGGAAAAACATGGAAAACCTGGAATTCTCAGGGTTTTTTTTTGTTCCTGGGGAAATCAGGGAATTCTCATGGAATTTTATTGGCATCCAGAAAATTTTTTAAAAAATCTCTGATAACTTTGTTCAAATATTGTAAGCAGTCAATTGAGAGAATTATATGTACTTAAAATATATTATAAATATATATCTATCTCTTTTTGTTTATATACAGGGTGGTCCTCGTAACGGTCGCCACGATTTTTAAGGATCGAAGTACATGCAATACATATTCTTTATTGTAATTTTTAATTATTAGAATTTAGCATTAGAAAATACGTAATAAAGAGACTTATTTTAGGAAATTGCACCAAAAAAAATCTTTAAAATATTCTCTTCACCTGGAATTTTGAACAAAAATACCTGGAAGATCAGGGAATTTTTTTACAGGATTTAAGTAGACACCCTGATAATCGAAGGGGAATATGCTTAGTAATTAATTTATCGTACTGTATTATCTTCTTTTTATTCGTGCTTATTTGCATCGTGATTATTATTCCGCAATCGCCTTGATAAAAAAAATATTCATTGAAACAGGCCTAAGAATTAATGAGCTCACCTCTCGTTGGTGTGCCAGGCGGCGGCGATCAGACTCGACGTCACGTAATCGGCCGGTACGAAGTCGAGCTTTTTGTCGGTGTGGCAATGTATCGTGCGCAATAAACCGATGCTCGAGCCGGCCAGGAGGCCAACCGGCCCGTACACGCTGTCGGCCCAGCCCACGATCGGCTCCTTCCAGGTCGAAGTCACGACGGACGTTCGCACGATGCACGCCGGTATATTGCCACTGTATCGCAGCACCGTGTCCTCCGCGATTGCTTTCGTAAATGAGAATGTGCTGGGCCATTTGTCGATCAATCTATCGGATGCGAATCAAAGAATCTCCCGTCAGAGAACGCGCATAGAAGTGGAAAATATTTAGATAAGAAATTTGACGCGTATGAGAAATTTTCTCCCCGAGAAAACGGAAAAAAACGATTTTTTTTTTTTTCTAGTCTTCTTCTAACAGAATAAGGTTTGATCGTGGGATTTCAATTAATGTGGAAGCGATTATAATCAAGGGTCTCTATTCTCTACAAAAAGATGGAAAGCTTGAAATTCTCGGAATTTCTTTTATACCTGGAAAAATCAGAGCATTCTCATGGAATTTTATTGAGACTCGGGGAAATTTTTAAAAAATCCTTCTTTGATAATTTTACTCTCATATTTTGTAAACAGTCGGCAAGCCAAGTAAATTATGTGTTTAAAATATATTGGAAATATTTATATCTATTTTTCTGTAATTGGATCAATAAAAGATTTGCAAAGTACATATAATTTGATCGATTGAAAAACTGTGCACGAGTCGTGAAAAATATTTTATTTAGCTCAAACGACACGACGTGAAGAAAATTTCTCGTACTTTTATACGTCAAATTTCTTATCTAAATATTTTAAAAGAAAGCGTCTTTTTATTTTGAAATAACACTCACGCCGGTGCGATAGCCTCCAGCTTCTTGTCGTTCAAGATATTTAACAGCGATAAGAATTGATCGGTCTCCATGGGCGGGGGGTAATGGCTCTCTTCGATGGATTGGATTGGCGAATGAGCGAAGACGGTCGACAAATAAACAAAAGTCTGAAAATTTGCGACTTATTGCGACGAACTCTCAATGTAACTCTTACAATAGAATTATTATGAGATCATTACCTTGAGATGAGGCATCTCTTTCGCCAAAAGTAGTATCTGCTTCGTGCTCTGCACATGAACGTTCGCCATAGTGCGAAGTTTTTGATTGGATCGTATGATCGCCGTACCGTGAAAAATAATGTTCGTATCGAGCAGCCTGGTTCGATCTTGCGGAGACAAACCTAAATTTGTCGTGTTCAGATCACTCTCGATCACTCTTAATTTCTGCGAGAAGTCGGGCTGCTCCTTCTTCAGTCTCTCGTATAACTAAAAGACATAACAATTTTTTTACCAATCACTAATAAACAAATGAATATAACGGTAATATATATAAATAATAAACATAATATTTATATTTATATCAACAATTCAATATTTCATAATTTTTATATTTAAATAATATTATATCATTCATATCTCTCTCTCTCTCTCTTTCTCTCTCTTTTTAAGGATAGAGATGATATTTGTACGAAATATTTTTCTTCATGAATAGAAAAAAAAAGATCTTACGGGCAATTCAGCAAGTTGCTGCACGCGTGCCTGAGGACCTTTTCCATTTTTTCTTCTTACAAGTATATATAATATCGCGACATTCGGGCAGGATCTATGCAAGAGATGCACAACATTTTGCGTGAAATAATGATAATCTGTGGTAGGAAGTTCTTCGCAAGTTTTTTTGACGGTAGATGATTTATGCTTACCGCAACAATTTTTCGATTAGAAGCTTGCCCAGGAAGCCCAAGCCACCTGTTACGAGAACTTTACTGCCTGAGAAAAATTGCGCGATTTCACTTTCCGCCGTATTGGCTTGCGACTCGTCGCTGAAACATTAAAATAATTTATAACTCATCGTATAATTAATAAAATAATTCATAATTCGGGTGGAGTTCCGAATAGGTGAACCCTCCGATTTTTTTGAAACTACACTATTTTTTGTATTTTTTAACGCTGATTACAAATGTGATAATGAAAATTTGCGACAAGGTCATTTTCAAGGTCAAAACTCAAAAAAACTGAAAAAATATAACTTTTTAGACATTATTTCAATAAATATTGATGTAACAAAAAAATGTTTCAAATAAAGGTTGCAGTTCTTAAAAAAATACATTATTTATGTTCTATAAATTTTTTGCGTGAAACTGAAAGTTTTCGAGAAAATCGATGTTAAAGACTAAAAACGGCGGGTGAAGTTCCGAACAGTGCTCACCTCTGATTTTTTTTGAAACTCAGTATTCTTACGTATTTTGATGCACTGATTACGAATATCATAATGAAAATTGGTGCATCTCTTATTTTCATAGTGAAAATCATGAAAAACCCATAACAATTTTAGATCTTACAGAGAAAAACATTTTATGTCCTATTAATTTTTACCGTACGATAGTTTTCAACAAAAACGATGGAATCTAAATCTTATATCTGTTCTCCCATCTAAGCATGTACTTTGCAGTACATATACGATTCCACATGGGTTTACAACTTTCCACGCAGAGCGAGGTTCCACGCAAACCTATTTGTCTAGTTTTTCGGAACTTCACCCGCCGTTTTTAGTCTTTAACATCGATTTTCTCGAAAACTTTCAGTTTCACGCAAAAAATTTATAGAACATAAATAATGTATTTTTTTAAGAACTGCAACCTTTATTTGAAACATTTTTTTGTTACATCAATATTTATTAAAATAATGTCTAAAAAGTTATATTTTTTCAGTTTTTTTGAGTTTTGACCTTGAAAATGACCTTGTCGCAAATTTTCATTATCACATTTGTAATCAGCGTTAAAAAATACAAAAAATAGTGTAGTTTCAAAAAAATCGGAGGTTTCACCTATTCGGAACTTTATCCCATAATTCATAATAATTAATAAGATAATTGATAAAATAATGTCGCAACACATATCTCTTTACCTTTGATTAATCATCGTGGTTTCTGGAAATGCTTGCGTCTCGAGAGTTGTCATGATTTTCGAAGTCACTGTTATCGGTGCTAAACTTCGACTGTGACGAACTATATTCACCTTGCTAGTATGTGAAATCTCATTATGAATAATTCATTCTATTGTAAATCAGAAGAATGGCATCAGACGATTGGCAAGTTAAATCGAAGTGTCGTACAAATATATGCATACGAGATGATTCGACATTTTCGAAGTATATTGAATTTCGATATTTACCTGTCTAACAATATTACTTTGTTTTATCATGATAACTTCTTCCGGCGATTGCAAACCGATCTTGCACTGATGTACCCACGGACATAAAATTGCGTGGAACGCAAAAATTATTTATCTATTATCAAATTTTTATTCACGCTCTTTTTCAAAATATTAATTAAAAGCATCTTTTTTTTTATCTCTTCTATAAAATGTTTTTTGATCACGAATTTAAATTTAGCTACTACGAGCCAAACGCGGCTGGTAGTGCGTCAGTTTAAAAGAAAATTAATTTTTCTTTTAAACTAAATCGTTATGTACGGTGCATATATTTTCCTTGGTGTGGAAGTTTGAAAGAAAAATTAATTTTCTTTGAAACCATCCGCGCGTTTGGCTCGTACTAGCCCGGTAAATTTAGATTTGTTTTCACATTGAAACTTACTAAAAAAAAATTCTATATCTTCTATAAAAAACATTTCTGTATTTTTCTATTACAAATATGGTTAGGTGTCATTGATATCCCAATTTAAAAATTAATATCAAATCTTTACATAAATCTTCAGTATATACGACTGCAATTCTGAAATCATTCAAAAATACATTAAGAAAAAAAAGTTGTTAACTTGACTAAATTCGTCCAACTAATTACTATTTCTTTGTATTTCTTTAATTGAAATATTTAAATATTTAAATCAAATACGACATATTAAATCTAACATGACGTATATTTGACTTAAATACATAAATATTTTAATTAAAGAAATACAAAGAAATAGTAATTAGTTGGACGAATTTAGTCAAGTCAACAACTTTTTTTCCTCAATGTACGCAACGCTCTTATATCGTCTCCGAGGCACTGACATGAGTCTCGTCTCGCCTGAGGTAATATCGCTAGAGGAAGAGGCGTAGGTGCGCTATAAACGGGTATCCGTTCGAAGGGAAAGAAGGAAAAAGAACACGCATACGCAGGAGGAAAAGTACACGCGACAGTATGTAAGACAGAGAAGGAAGAAAGGCGAGAGACTCGTTGCACGAGGAACAGCGGACATCTTACTCTCTCCCCCC